ACAGAATTGCTTCTGAATTCCGCATAAAATCTGTGCCAATTCATGACCTTCAACATCCGGCACTTGCCAGCTACCTCTCAGTGGAACTAGATAGAGCAAGATCAATTATGCATTTTCATGGTAATTGCGACGGCTGATGTAGTAATTAAGTATGTAAATGCCACTGTATGTAAATGCTCAATAAACCGGTTCGAAGTAAAGCGTAATCTCGAACTAGCCGCAACGAATAATAAGAAACCAACCGACCAATTTCAACAGTGCATTGACGCCGAAATAACAATACAAGACGTCAAGAAGGAACTAATGCAGCGCACGTGTGTGACAAAAGCTACAATTTCTGACCGCGACAAACACAAGACGGAACGCTTCCCAAAATGCACGGGCTGCTTGCGTCACGAATTGAAGCATTCGCATTCAACATGCTGCTTCTTTGCCGTGGTCCTATCGGTTTTATTGTTGGACTCACGTATAGGACTGCTGTGACGCGTCGTAAATCTTTTACGGCACGCTTCTGCCTTCCTCTACAACGCGCCTCTTAGCCGCCAGACTGACTGACGTAAAGCTTCGGATTTCACTTCGCAAATCACCACTGAATTGGCGTCTCGCTGATAGTTGGGCTCGCGACTTCAGCGATGTTACAGATACGCGTGCAAAAGCTCTTTGAGCTGCACGTCAACCGCCTTTCCAGCGTTCTCTTATGGCCTGACCACACGTGTACCGTCGCAGCGCGTCGGCGCGTGGCTTTTTGACGCGGCGTCTCCCCCTAAGAAGAGAGAGGACACGCAGCTTCGCGTAGCCGTGCTCTTTTCACAGGGAAAGGATGTGACGCCGCGTCAAAAAGCCACGCGCCGCGACGAGTGCGTGTGGTCAGGCTTCTAGGCATCGCATGGCGTCAGTCTTGGCAATCCGAAGCCGCTCACAGAAGGTCGGCACACAAGGCACTGTGTACACGGAAAGAGACCAGGCATGCGGGCAGAGCAAAATCTCTTGACAGCAGCCAGGGAAATCCCCGGCTCCTTTCCGGGTTTTCTGGCATCGCCGACGCTCACCGCGGGAGGCCCAGGACGCCGTTAAAACGCCGAATTCCGACGCACGCAGAGCCGAGCCCTGTGCCCCCTTTGCCATCGCCAATTACCGCTTCTTCCTGTCCGCTTGAAGTGATGTAGCCCTGCTCAACGCGCGACGAGCCGGCCATGCATGGACGACCTGGCTGCGGAGGCTTTTAGAGATTTCGGCACGTATGCCGTGGGCGGTTCACCAGTGGGCAGCAGCGGCGCCAGTAAAAGTAAATTAAGCTGTTACGGGCCGCAAAACGCAGCCCAGAATGCCACTCTGGGTGGTGAGTGAAGATGAGCAAAAATAATAACGCAATGAATAAGAACTAAATGTGCTTTTCTTTCTAAGGAGTGTCGTTGACCTAAAGCTGTGCTGTCGTCATGTTGCCGAACTGGCGGCATCAGTAAATCATCAGCTAGATAGGTGAGCATCGCCTCCACATTTCGCGACGAAGCGACGCAGTCGATTTTCTGCAACAATAAAGCTAGTCGCATATAGTTGTTGTACCCCTCCCCCTCCCATCTCTTCCCTAACCTCTCTACGCGTGTAAGAGCCTCGGGTATGACGTGAATACGAATACGCTCGTGGCAACTCACGAAACACATGTACTCCTGTTGAGCGCAAGCTGGTCGCTGTTGAGCCAAGTGGTGTAGCGCTCTGCAGGGCAGTGTCGTTAGTAGATGAGAGGTTGAAGGGCAAGTCTAGGCGCAGCCACCTCGGAATCTATCTACAGACGCCCTTACGTAACGACGGCACACATGCGTACATTAGCACATCGCACACGCTTGCTCCTCATTGACATGCAACCTTTAATTGCAATCTTAAATCGGTACACCGACAACCACGAGCGCTGCACATGCCTAAGTCACCAAAGCGTTAAGCGGCGCAAGCGCCGGGCTCGTATTCCATCATCTCATTGACAGAGCCATTACACATATACCATGCCATCGCCAGAAGCACTGCGTGTAAAGGGGACGGCTTGGGAAAAGTGGCCACTCAATCCACAGTGAATTACATTGAGCCTTCCGGGTTCAAAGTGCTTTCAGTCTGCACTCCCCGTTTCCCGGTAATTGGACATGAATATTTCCTCTTTAGCAAACGTCACGCAGAGAACTGAGCGCACACTCGCATATCGAGCTGCAAGCGCCATGTACTCTATTGTAGGCGCTTGCTTTTTTTTTTGTTTCGAGCATGTATCGCAGAGATTGCGTGTGCGACATGAAGTTAATTGCAGACCGCGAGCAGCCTGCTTATTTTCATGGCGAAAAGCCACACAGCCTTTCATCGGTCGTGGTGCTGGATGCTGATTAGCACTCATCGGTAATGCTAAATAAAGAAAAAAATACTGACGGAACAGGCAACAGCACAGGGAGGGGCCAACATATTGGATACGCTTACCATTACAAGACTGACGAGCAGCGTTAAAGTGATCGGTACCACGAACCTGAAAAAAAGAAGAGAAAGAACAAAAAAGATCAACAACATTGTAATCACACGGCAGTGAATAAACACACAACACTTTTCTTTCACAACGGGCAAGCGATACGTGATAACACACGGATAAAGGCTGTGGGAATGGAAATTGCGCGGGTGGTGGCGCGACGCGCCGTGAATGTAAAGCGCGTGGTGCGGATCCGTAAACGCTGGCTCCTGGCTTCCTTTACCGGTGATAAATTGCCCGAACAGCCACCCACGCAACAGACCTCACCTGTTCCATTTTCGCCTTGCCAATATTGCGTCACGTTCAATACGAGTAAGGAACGTGTATAATCAGCGGCGTTCACCGAACACTCGCGGCATAATTTGCACGCCAAAGAGCGTTGTACGGTCAAGTGCCGCCACAATCTTTTTGTTTGTTTTTTTTTCCCAGAGCCAAACGACCACCTCCGTGCGCTGCCGGCTCATTCGAAAACACTCTCTCCACGAAGCATTTACTTGTGGCAGATGTAATTGCAAAACATTAAACAGAAGAGAGAAAATTAACTTTTGGCTGGTGCAGCCGCTTGAGGGGAAGTGAAAGAAAATTAATAAAATGATACCTCAAAAGCACGATCAAAAGAGAGAGAGAGAGGAATTGCATTGAGTGTTTTGCCGAGGGAGCTCGACAGGCCGCGCGCTGCCGCATTCATTCGGAGATAGGCTGCTGCAGCCGCTCTTAACAAAAATGGACAAAAAAATCGAAATCCTTTACATTATTAAGAAACTCAGCTTATTTCGCAAAAAAGTACTCGGCCTCAAGTTTGTGTGCACTTTTTGGTCTATGCATCCGCAGGTATTTTCACAGAGGCAAACAAACAAAGAAAATCGTGGCCCAAAAAGCAAGCAGCGAAAGGTGTGTCGCGAAACCACTCTCTCAGTGAGCTAGCTAAACTAAACACGAGGCGAAAATGCATGAGCCGCATCAAGTGCAAATGCGAGATTGAATGGCGCGAAACATAATTCCCCCTGTCATGAGCCAGCGAAATTTGTTTGCATTAAAAAAGAAAGAAAGAAGATGTAAGGAAACGTAAAGAAAACCCAAAGGTAGACATATTGCTATTCACGTTGCCAGAAAAGAGCTGATGGAGGCAGAATATTTGTCCAAAGCTCATCTCTCGTCCGTGCTCTTTGAAGCGCACACACGGAAGAAGGGCGAAGTGCAGCCGAGGTGAAAGCCGAGGCGTGATTGAAATGCGAATGCAGCCCTATGACCGCTGTGTTTTCGCTTTGGAAAGGTACATTCGCGAAGACAGCTTTGCATGCAAATCGACGATTACCAATGCACCACAATCACATACGAGTGTGTCTAGTAATTACTAACAGAAGCCGCAGGCGTACAATACCACTCCTCCATTAGTTGGCTTTGCCGCAAGATGTACAGGAGAAGTTGCGAACGACGGTTGCGGAGGCGACGACGCTTGCCTAGTGACGTCACCTTAAGTCGCGGAACACGACGATGGCGGGTAGAACAACGTAAGCAGAAGGAATACTTGGTAGAGATGCTCTTACATCAATTATCATTGTCAATGCGAGTAGCTCAAGGACGACTCGACTAATATGTACCCCGTCAGTGTTGAGAAACGCGTCTAATGTCCTGCGTGCTGGCTTGCACGAATGCCATTTTGAAGGAAACAGGCAGCGCAGTGCCAAATTGCCGGGCGTCTGTACACGCTTGCATCGTGTGCTCGGCGGGAAAATCCTAAGCGCGTTCTGTTCTGTCTAATGAGGCATGTTCGACCTAAGAATGCCCAGAGTTTAAATCCCGTCGTTGGAAAATTGCTAACACTGATGTTAATCCGGCGCTGTGCACCGGATATGCGTTGTCCCCTTCCTCACGCACGATTGTGCGCGCGCGTGAATGACTTCACAATGCCGGATCGGCCACCTATTCGAAATTCATCATGCCAAAAGTAGTATTAAATTATAAAACAAATACGCATCGTGACAAACAAGGATATGATTATGATGCCCGTTGGAGAAGAGAACTCTAAGTGGATTAGGTGTTGTCTCACACCCACCTAAATTTAAGCTCACGAGCACTATTGTACTTCGCCCCTTCCGAAGGGAACGAAAGGCGGTAACGTAACATTGGCGGATAGGGATGAACTGCTACCAAATTTTGAACAACAATGTGAGAAGTTATATATGGTACAGCAACTAACGATGGTATAGTTTAATAGTTTCAGATTGGAGATATAGTTCGAGTTCATAAAGTCGAAAGCACTGAACGAAGTTCCTATGTGTTTTAATTTAAAGCTCGCGCGAATGGCGACGATAACCAAATGTTCCTGGATTTTGTACTCTTTCAAAAATAGCAGTGCTTTGAAAGGCAAAAGCGCAACACAATGTCAAGGAAGGGCTCCAAGCACATCAATCACTCACACCTGATGCAGTGCGAGTCGCAGTTGGTGGGAAGCACCCATAAATAGAGAGACTCACACGCGGAAAAGCTGGCAACGACCGCTGCGGTCAGGTTTGGATGACACCCGCAATTTTAAGCTTTGAAAGGACGGATGTTATCTCGTAAACGCTTAGCCTATTGCACGCGACTTGGGTGAGAAAAACAGACACACTGTACAACCATTCTCTTATCGATGCGTCCGGTCATGTGCACCTAATGTTTTCTTCAAAACACACTCGTTTATCGTCACTGTATACGCTGCTGTTCTTTGATACATATGATAACAAAACTAAGAGCCAGGTATATGGGAAGGATGATTGAATGATATGTGAGGTTTAACGTCCCAAAACCACCATATGATTATGATAGACGCCGTAGTGAAGGGCTGCGGAAATTTCGACCACTTGGGGTTCCTTAACGTGCGCTCAAATCTTAGCACATGGGCCTACAACATTTCCGCCTCCATCGGAAATGCAGCCGCTGCAGCCGGGATTCCATCCCCGATCTGTGGGTCAGCAGCCGAGTATACTTAGCCACAAGATCACCGCGGCGGGCTAGTATATGGGAAGGCGTGATACTGAACGCGTTTATGAACCGCTATCAACCATCTAAAACATTGCCTAATAATACTTTCCACGAGGAGTTTCTTCTGCCTGTAGGCATTGTGGAAAAGTCCCACTTTTGCGAGAACGAATGATGAGTCTTGCATGACGTGCACTGTCTGTCATAACTTCCCGTGTCCTAAACGCAGAGTGGAAAACACTCTTCTGAAGAAATGAAAAGAAGGGATGCAATACCTCCATGTAAAAATATATAGATGCATCTACCCGCTCTTATTGTGTTTTTTTTACCAGCTTTGGGCCGTGCGGTAGGCTGAAGATGCCGCCCGGGTCGAAGGACTTCAAGCGGTCACCTGAGGCACCACCATCATAATCGACGGAGAGTGGGAAGGGGCAGGGGCTAATCCCCTCTTCCCCCACCTCGCCCGGTAAAACTGCCAGACTCTAAATAAAATTCATTCATTCATTCATTCATTCATTCATTCATTCAAGACAACCACTCATTCGCCCATTTGCTTTGGATAGCTTAGGGGTTCTGGAACTGCCTTATTGGGCCCGAGGTCATGGATTCGATACAGATTTATTCCAATGGGCAGGCAGGCAGTATACCATGAACACTCATTTACTGCGCATTTCGTGCATATTAAAGAACCCTGGTTAGTCCCTATTATCCCAAAGTCTACGGCGCCACTCGCCACCCGGATCACGGTTTTAGCACGCAATACACCAGAATCAGTCAGTCTTTATTGCGAAATTCTATTCCCAGAAGACTCACGGCCCGGCTCGCTGCGACACCGCGGGTCTATCGCTCAGTATAGGTTGCCGCAATTTCCACTTCGTTGTTACCGCACCAAGCGACCTAACGTGGATTCCGGTATTTCCCGGGCAAAAACTTGCCGACGACATACGTCTGGGTGGAAGCGCCCAGGCTCAGTAACAGAAAGAGAGGCTCGCTAGCTGTTGCCGTAATCAGGCGCAAAAGAGCTTTCCCACAGAGCGCAGCCGCTGCACAACGTGACCGCGCCAAGGAAAGCGAAGCCAGCACGCAATCCGTTCGTGGCACCCGCGGGGAGAAGAACGGTTGACTCTTCCATCACACGCTGCGGAAGCCGTCAGCAGAGTAGATCCAATTTAGGGCCCCAAGGATCGATCGGCGTGACTAATTCTGTTCTTAGCGGCCGTAATTGCATCTGCCCACCCCTGTCCACAAACAATCGCACGCCGACCAGCTTAGCGCACTATTTATAACCCGTGCCTTGGCCTTCCTTATAGCACCTCTTCCTTCTTCATTCGGCTCTTTCTTCCGGAATGCTGTCACTGAGAGAACGTGGCTGGGTCGAGGGCAATCACAACCAAGCCGGTCGTACACAAGCGCAATTCCTAATGGCGTAGCGCCCCTCTCATTGTTTGCCGGAATTCGCGGATCTCGAATGCGAGAGGCAGGTTTTTCCCTCTCGTCTTGTTCTCTGCTATTTCTTACTTTTTTTCTCCTGGAAAGCCCACCTCACTCTTCAAGCCGAGATTGGAATGTAAAGGAATGTGTTGATAAGGACGATCTACTTTCCCGCGACGCGAGCCATCGCGAGGCGAGAGGGAGGTGCGCAAGATAGGCAAGGCGTGGATAAGCGTGCGCTCGACGCTGAACCCGAATTGCTGTTTGCTTGAGGCTCGCTTTCTCGGCACCGGAAGGCCGCGGGTCACCTGGACTGGACTGCTCGAAAGTACCCCACCTGTGCCGCCGGTTCATTGCTTCTAAGAATACAAACAGGAAAAAAAAACTTAAATGTACTTACATATACGGCCTACAACCGACATAAAAGGACACTGAAGAGCAATACAATTTTTAGCGTATTAGTAAAGTAGGATGTCACAATCCCATAAGCAACACTGTAATCGCAAGACGACGGTAAGTTGGGCCAGATGGTTAGGATACATCGTGAACTTACAGCGCAACACCAGAAAAAAATACAGGACAGGGAGGAGGGTTTTTTCTTTCTCTCTTGC